GCTGCAGACCACCAAACCAGCACCATGACCTTCTTTCCATGCCGCTTCGGCTTGGGAAAAAGTCGTGGGGCTTGGTCCTTATCCAGCCACTGGCCTGATCGTTGTCGGTTGCCGTACAGAATCCATTTCTCATCACACGTCAGAATACGGTCTAAAAATGGACTGTTGCGCGGAAGCAAGGCGCAGGCGAGCCCAAAGCGGCAGTCTCTCTGGCGCTGATTCAATTCATGCGGCACTCACTTACCAAGCTTCTTCGACTTCAATATCTCCTGCATGTGTTTGCCAACCGTTCTGCTGGAGACATTCAATCTCGATCCAATATCCTTCAGCGTTGTATGTGGATTTTCTTCCCCTAACGTTCTCAATGGTTCGTCGCCAACGGCCAATAGCCGCCCACAATCCACATCCCACAAGCCGCCCTCATCATCTTCCACGCTCTCATCGCCGGGACGAAATTTTCTAAACCACCACTGTGCTGTACGTTGATTCGTCGTGCCTGGCCCAAAGGCACAGTTGTTATCCCAGGCCGTTTCCGTTGCACTCCTGCCCAATTTGAATTGGAAAAGAAAAATTGTGCGGATCTGAAGTTTGTCCATGTTGATTTCGACCTTCTAAAAAACCCCAGGAAGTCGAAGAAGCTTGATAAGTGAGTGCCGCATGAATTGAATCAGCGCCAAAGAGACTGCCGCTTTGGGCTCGCCTGCGCCTTGCTTCTGCGCAACAGTCCATTTTTAGACCGTATTCTGACGTGTGATGAGAAATGGATTCTGTACGGCAACCGACAACGATCAGGCCAGTGGCCAGTAAGTGTTATATATATATATATATATATATATATATATATATATATATATACTTCGTTGCATGTTAGTACACATACCATAAATTTCACCAAAACTCACGTTCCAGGGCACTTCAGGAAAGGCTCATTATGGAATTTGTGCCCTACTCGGACCGTAACTTGTAGACCAAAAACGAGTTCCATTTCAGTAACACGGACAATTTTCCTTTGATACCGTCGCAAAAGGTTACTTTGCCTATGTTGCAAATTGATACAGCCACCGACCAAATCAACTTATTCACCAGCTAAATGATGCCAAAGAGAGGACGATGCGTGGCTAATAACTGAGCCCCCATTCCTTCGAATTACCTCAGAAATACGGTTGTCTGAGCTGAAGTGAAGGTTATCAATGAGTTCCTGGCCAACTTGGTGCCCCAACCGTTGATAATTGCTTTCTTCAGCTCGCCGATACCTTTGGCTGCTTGTTTCTTTCATAAATTTCCTTATCATGCTTCGCCATATGCTTTCCATTAGAATCATGTCAGGGCTGTCAGCTAGCTACAGCAAAAGGTCGATTTGGTGCCGACTAGACCGAGCCTCGGTGTTCCGACTGACGTGAATCGGGGCACTATCCTTCATGAATATGAAGTTCTGCTGCCACTCTGAAACTAAAAGGGAGGAAGAGCACGGCACATTAGACTCGATAACCGGAGGAGCAGAGCTTCTTCGGAACAAAGCATAAATGAAGATGTTAACGAAAAAAAGTTGCCGCCCATGCCATGACTCCTCCTTCCTTAAAATTCCGTCTGACAGACTCAAGCTTATCCGTTTTCAGATCGTGCCAGTAGAACCGGCTTCCACCTGGGGCATCACAGTAAAACTTTTTCATCAAAAAAAAAAACATGAAGAACGAAACACCAGAGAAAGAACAGTAAACGACAAGCCGTGAAAAGGCACCTTACTCCTGTCAGTTCGGATGCACCTCCTGGGAAAAGCGACCCATTATCGTGATGCTTTTCAGTCATAAAGAATGCCTTCCTCATTTTCCGTCAGCGATAAACTCAGACTTTTTCTATTACGTTCCATACAGTAATCAATGGGACATTGAGCTTCGCAGAGGACTTGATTTCCGTACTGACTCCGTCGTATTCGACGCTCCTCTCACAATCCGTCGCTTATATACTTCCGAGAAAAACGAAGACGTCCCGTACTTCTTTTGGTTCCATACTCTGTAGGATTCCCAACCAAAACGTCGACAAATGAGCGGCATCGACCCGAATCTCCCCAGACAAGGTATAGCCATGTCGTTTAGAGATCAGAACATGTTCTTAGAATGGACTGATAGAGCTTTTAATACAGGTAGTAATATTCGCGGGAGACTGAAAACTGCCACCTTTTACTTATCAGGGCTTTAGTTTACTACTATAGAAAAACCTGCGTGGTTCACCATGATTTTTCAATTTTACTGCATTTTATTGTATTCAGCTTATGGCTCAGACGTTGGGAGCGTTGCGAGTGTCAGTTGATGCTCGCAATGCCATTCTACGAGGAATCGATTTAGGAAAGAAACAAGCCGAGCTAGCAAGACTTTTTCACGTTGCTGGATCAACTATTCGCTATTTATGAAGAAAGTCTCAGCAATCGGAATGATTGGAGCAGGGCCGCATCCAGGAAGAAGCCGGATGACCTCATGAGCTACCGACAGAAATGTCCTCCAATTGGGTCGTGGCAATTCAAGACTCACTTCCACCGACATCCGAACGGAATTGGCTATTGGCAGTGAACGGAACCCGTCGACTTCTACAAGCTGAAAGACATTTGGAAGGCGTCCTGCGAAGAAACGTTCGTTCGGAGAAGTATCATAAAGCTCGCGTTGGGTGCGCGCAGGAACATAGCGTTCGGGCCCGCCATCAATGGAGTAACGTTCTATTTTCTGACGAATCCAAGTTAAGTCCGATGAGAGGTGACGGGATCGAGTATATCAGACGTGCAGTTGGCAAATGATTCGACCCTCTTATAAACTGCCCATTGTGAAGCATGATGAAGGGAATGTGATGACTTGGGGGTGTTTCAGTGGTCACGGAATCGGACCTCTTCGCCGAATTCATGGAGTTTTGGATAGGTATGGATGAAGACATCTAGAAAATAAATGCGTCCATTTGCACTCAGTCGATTGGCAGAGGATTCATTTTTGAGCAAGACAACTACCCCAAGCACGTATCCGGCCATATCACGGTGGTTCAAGAGACGGTATGTGGACGTTTTTGACTGGTCAAGTCCGCACTTGAATCCGATTAAGCATTTACGGAACGAACTGGAGTGCCGCATGAAAGGCAAAGAGCAAGGAATACGGCCGAAAAATTTGATCAGCTTGAAGAAGCCCGGAGGACGACTCCGCAGTCCTACCTTGATACTTAATCAACTTCGATGCCACGAAGATGTCAGGCCGTTGTCGATGGGTTTGCAACAGAGTAGTAGTTCTGCTCATTTGTTATTGTCACGTTACATTGGTTTCAGGAGGTTCTTATGACTGTTTTTTTGAATGGTTTGATCACATAATTTGTTGCTGAGTCATATTGGGAAAATCGACAATCTCTCCGATTCTGGTTAGAGTTTATTACTAATTTTGTAAAGAGTATGGGAGAGCACAAAGGAAGTAACTGTTGCAAGTAAGGGAACGATCAAAAAGAAATCCCGAAAAAAGCAAAAGCAGCAAAATGAGGTGTTGATTGTTCTCAAAGCATGTGTAGAAGAGAAATGAGCAGCACGTCACTTGATAGGACTTACAAGGGAAGGATACTCGGTCGCAGTGGCCATTCAAGATGAGATGTATACCCCCGTAGGTGGTTTCGAACGCTGA